CCAAATAACTCTATCATACGTCATCTCAGTCATCACTCACTTTTTGATCATGTCACATTTCACGCAATCCACACATCTCTTTCTAGGTCTACCTCTACCGGTGTACCCTTCACATAACTAACGTTCAAAGAAAAGGGATTATATACTTAACTATTTTACAATTTTCTTTGTGATTGAAGATGTTTACAGAGAGCTAAACACTTAAAATTAGTTTAGTTTAGGCTAGTTCAGTTTATCTGATAACTCTTATCGTCTTGGATAATTAGAAACCACGCTTAATCAATTTTAAATGTAACGCTATAAATATTTGTAGAATATATCGAAGTAGTTCTTTCCGGAAATTCTTAATGGACATAAGCCAGTGCTATTCGGTCCGGAATGACGCTGCAAATTGGATCATTAAAAGCTTAAGCAGACTTTTGAAAGTTGGATCGTGAAAAACGAGCTCCCTGGCTTGACTGAACTGATAACAGTTTAAGTATATTACTTTTTGTATGAAATAGCACGCGAAATTGCCAACAGTCGTGATATTTGAAGACAGCTACCAAATCGCTGTAATAAGTGTACATTCTTTTATGAAAAGAAAACAAAGGAATCACCATTCGAAAGGTGTACAAACCTTCAGGCAAGTTGATGATGATTGATGATGATTGCCCTCTGTAGGCAGAGGGTAGGCATAGTATGCACTGTTCTTCCATACATCTCTATCAGCCGTCATATCTGAATTTACTCCCTTCTCAAACATATCCTCTTTCACACAATCCATCTATACTTCCTTCGGTCTTCCTCTACCTTGAAGCCATCCATTTAATAACAATACGTTCTTGTTTATGTCCTCGTCTCGCATATGTTCATACCACACTAACCTTTTGCTTCTCAATTTCTCCACTACTGGCGCTACTTACAAACTTCCTTAACTTTGTGCCTTCTTGTTACACAACACATCCATTTTAACGTAAGAACTTTAAGAATAAGAATATATTTATTGCACACTAAAATTAATTACATCAATCAGTGTTGCCTTGACGACTTAACTAGGATTCCTGGTTTTAAGAATCCAAGGACTTCCCTTACAAAGTGATTCAATTTTGGTGAGAAACAAAAAGAAGAACTGAATATAGAGAAGGAAATTAAGCAGTACTAACAGAATTCAGAAAACATTAAAACATAATCGAACTATCTATTTTTTTTCAAAGTTCAAAGGATATTCTAAATCATATTGAGATTTTCACTTGTTTTTTATTTGTCACTGGATAATCTCATTTTAATATGAAAAGGGAAATACTTCGTCGATACGCCGGAATGTATCAGAGATTCCAGGCTACGGTTTTACGACGTATGGCCTTTGTTGACGAATGGCGCGTACATTTTTTTGTCTCCGCCTACAAAGAATATGACGGATGGAATTTTAATAAACGGATTTTGATACATTCCTCTGTGGTTATACGATTCTAAATTTGGACTTTAACTAATAATTAAATTATTTTAACTTTTTTCTAATTTACGTCCACATTCTAGTGTTACTTAAATATATTTAAAAATGTAAACAAGAAGCTCTGTAGCTACATCTTTATTTTTTTATATTTAAGACTGAGATCTATATCTTTTTTCCGTTCTTAAGTAACTATGTAATTAACATCGATGCCGTTTAACGCGTTTATAACATTAATGGGATATTTCGATGATTTGCATAAAATTTCAAAATTTCTCATAAAATATCCGCCGCTATCTGATGAATCTAGTAATGTTATCTCGTTGGCTTAATGTCCTTCCATGACATTTGCGTAATCCAAGTTATTGAGTCATCAATCATTCGCTTCTGAGAGGCCGCGATCAATACGATGAAAA